ATTGGAATATTTAGAATAAAATAATATAAATACGTTATTGTACGCTAGGTACGAACACAGTTATAATTAAAAACAGTAATAACACACTAATATAAGTACTTATACTAGTTATACTTACAGTTTAACAAATTACATTAAATATAATATAACAAATTATAAATACGTGAAGTCTTGAAGCCGTGAAATAGCATCAACGGAATGGAGTGGAGAACCGGTATCATATAATTCTATTACTCTCAATAATTTTTACCTCCCCCTGTAAATATATAATAGGTTAAAGTTACCGAGGGGAAATATATACTGGGATATATTTACCTACTCAGAAAAAAAGTATTGTTATTGGGAGGGGTATAAATGTCCTCGGATGAAAATTTCACTGAATGTTTATATTAGCATTTCCTATACACCATACAATTTTGAAAATATTTTGACTCTTTTTGAGCTGTTTATGGACATTTACAGCTTTCAATTTTTTTTAGTTTTTTTTTCTATAAATATCAATAAAGTTTTATCTGTTGGGCCAAAAAGTGTAAAAATTTAATACAAGGCTCCTGATATATTGTTACAATAGCAGTTGAAAAATATTAAAAATACATAGGCACAGTTTTTTTTTATAAGCATTTAAAGATCAAATTTTGACAAAATTTATCAAAATCTCGAAAATTATCAATCATTGAAATTAATAAATTATAAAATGTTCAGTTTTTATAGCTAAGGATTGCAAATTTAAAACAAAGGTTCTCATAAATAGTTCATACTGTAACCAAAAAATCTAAAAAATATATGAACACAGTTATTTTTTACAGACATTTTAAATTCAAATTTGGACGAAATTACATATTAAAAAACCTAGAATAACTATTTTAGTTTTTTGTTGTGATTGAATAATATTATTCGTGGGTACTTGATACTTCTTAAGTGTACTATTATATATCTATGATAGTATAACGGTTTTTGTTAATGTATAACGCGTTATAAGTATCTAATGGATATTGTGATATGATTAATTTGGAATTTATTATAGGTACCTATTATGGGTCAATTTTTTGTTTAATACCATAGATATGTATATAATATGTCTTATACATAGACTGACATACCGTCTCCGCTCAGAATCGTTTTCTTATACAATGATATTATATCGTTGAATTCAAATTTAATATCATCCATTATACAGTGACCCACTTGTAACCTACTGCACAGCAGAGCGACACTCACTTGCCCACCTTTTTTTTATTCGTTGCTACGGTGATAAACAAATTGTTAGAAATTAAAATCCATTTTAAGCGGTTTTTCGTAATTTTTCAGTACTTTTTCCCCTTGGCATTAAATAACTATTGAGAAAATCGAAAAATGACCTCTTTAAAGTACCATCTTGGTCCAATTTGCTAAAAGATAATTTACTATATGTTGAAATCAAAGCACTCCTTCTGGTAGAAATTTTGTATACAGGATATAAAAAAAAAAATAATAAAAAAAAATAAACACCATTGTAAAACCACTAGCTTCCTTGCTCCGCTCAGAATCTAAAATCAGTGGAATAAAAGTCTAGTTGAATAAATAATCTATTTATAAATAAAATTAATAAAAAGTTGAACATTTTATTAATTGTTTTCTTTTTATGATTTTTATTAATTTTAATTATTAATCATTAGCAATATAAAAATAATTTCTAATAATAATTAATAAAAATAATATAAATAAATTCCCGTCGTATTGGATGGCACGTGGGTGAGGTTGCACGGAAATTATGATCGTGCGGATTTCAGTGATAGTTGTGCAAATTCATTCTAAATGCGTGCTAAATAAAGAATATGTAAAATTATAAAAAATTCCTTTTTTTTTTGGTTGGGGGTGCTGGCACCGCCCGTTAATTTTTGCGATTCCGGAGACACTGATATCGTTTGAATTGTAAAATTAGTCATGCAAATTCATGCTAATTGGTGCTAATTATTGATGAAATAAAAACATTTTTAATGGACGGTGCTGGTGCATCGTACGTGCTTTTTTCGTCGCCTATCTGTCTCCGTTCTTAATATTTTGTGCTTGTTAGATCATTTTAGAATATGGGATTGTCGTTTGGTACCCATACCTTGCTAAGGATCAGCTGCGTCTTGAGCGAGCTCAGCATAAATTCCTTTCTTACGCTGCTTTTATACTTAGATTACCAAATCCTAATCATAACTATTCTGATAGTTATGATTCAACTTACTTTTTATAATGTTGTCAAAGTTGTTTTTACTATTTTAACTGTGTGCAAATAGGTATTTAACAATATTGGATATAAATAAGTAACAATAAGTTGAATTTAGTTATACTTTATTAAAAATTACTCTTAAATATTAAATTGCATATGCCAATTTTGTAATTAGAAAAAAACTTTTTAAACATAAATTGTTTTGAAAAAAATATTCTATCCAAATACGTAAAAAAACAATTGATGTAAACATTTCAAAAAAATTAAGTTATATTGTTAGCTGTATTGTTTGAAAATTTAAAATTTATCTGAGAATGTGTATTCAAATAATATCTGTCATTAAGTGAAAACCCCATTTCAATATAATAGGTTATCGAACTGAAATATTTAGTGGTACCTCTTAGCTTGCAAACTTATCCGTTATTGAGTCAATTAATGATCCAGTTGGAAATTGGAATGTACCTAGTCAATTTATGAATTTTTACCAAGAATTTATCAGAAAATAACTACGGGTTTAGCCTTAAACAAAACTGTAAAGTTAGTATTAACAGAAACATACATAAACTTACTTGAAAATTCTTGCTAATCATTGGCTTTCGTTTGGTGTTAATTTCAAAGTTCTTGGTCAAAGCAGGTGGGCCAAATTCATAAGTCAAAAATGTAAAGCAACCATCCGAAGGACATGCAAATTTCAAAAAGAGCCTTACGAATACATGCTAGTCATTAGCTGCTTTCGTTTGATACTGATTTAAAAGTTCTGGGTCTAAATTCTCACTATAACTTGAGCATAAGGGCGACGGGTACTATAAACAGGTTCATCGTACATCGTAAAAAAATTCATTCGTAGAGTAGATAGGTAATAAGGTAAATGATAATTATTCATTATACCTTATGTTTTAACTGGTTTTTGATGTCTCTCGTTGAGTCTGTTTAATAAATTCACAATAGCACGTTTTGTACACTTACCTATCTACTCGCTATCGTCTGCAATAGAAGCTAAACAATTACAAACTATTAAACTTTTTGTTTCGCCTTTTAAATAAAAGTATTTATTATAAATACTAGTATTTGGTAATAGGATATGTGGTAATAGGGTCTAATTAAAATTATTTAATAGATACAATGTATATAGTATATACATTATATACAATGTATAGTAATATATAATTATACAATTAATAAGAAGTACCTAATAGAAGTTCTATGCGTGTTTGTCATTTTTAAAATTTTTATTTTTTTATTATTAACTAACCTTACTACATCACTCAAGGAACATTTTTTATTTGCACACCTAAAATGTGTATCACTAGATTTTAAAGTTCGAAATTCTCTAAATTTATAACTATCTATATTTATACACTTTTTACCTGACGCGTTTCAAAAATATCACAAATTTCGATATCCATAGTCACTAGTCAGTATAGGTAGTAAGTACCGCTTTCTGGCGAACGACTGCTTAAAAATATTATGTTTAATACACGTCGATTATTTTCAATGATGATAATGACTAATGATATATTTAATATTGATATGCCGGTCATTTGTACTGATAATTTGTACCGATAATCAATTACTTTAGGTAAGTCCAAATTTATGCAGTGTTTATGTTGTGCGCAAAGTGCAAACGAGTCGTCCGTTTTTAGGTTAACGACGGTATTAGTTGTGCGCAAACGAGTCATCGATATTTAGGTAAACAATTTGGATTGTGCGCAAACGAGTTGCACCGGAAAATGTTGGCATGTGAGTCTACAATGAACCAATATGTAAATATTTTGAAGCACAACCGGTTATAAAGAAGTGTACTTATATAAATATAACACCATATTATATATATTATAGGTACCTATTGTATGTGTATATCGTGTATACTGTATAGGTAATAAATATAAAATGTTTATTTCTGACATAGAATTATATGTGCAAGTATCTATCAGGTACCTACATTATATGGTTTAGATTGTGTTTTCAACGAATATTTAATCCAATGTAAATTTGGTTTTGATAGATCTTGAAGGATTTGGTTAGTCTAATTCTCATTTTAATTCAATCATAATTCTTAAACCTTAAAACGACGATTGATCTGAACAATAATTTAACACCATATGAAATAATCACAAAGTTTTTTTTACTACAGAATCAAAATAATAATTAATGTAACAATATTATAATTTCTGGTTCAAAATGTAATTGTGTAAAAAATTACATTTTAATTTATTGAAAAGAATAAAAAGTAAACAGCTCATAAATTATGCATGCTAATTGTAAATAAACACTAGTTTATTAACATTAATTATGATACCTAGATTAAATTATTATGGTATAAATATGTATAATATACCTAGGTACGTAATTAATTATGGAATTGCAGGTAGCACAAAACTTGTTGCCTATATTTTCATTACAACATGCTTTTTGTAGCTTTTTGAAAATTAATAGAAGTGAACATTGAAATTGAAGATAAAATTCAATTCAACAATTTTAAATTTTTTTTGTAATTTTATTAGATGGGATGTATTCATTTATCTTATAAATATATACTATGTATTTAGAACAAAGATAAATTATTTGAGTAATATATAACATACCTTATATACAATCGTATTTTTTGATTACCTATTAACTATTATTTTATTTTTATAATAACCACAAAAAAGAAAAACTTAATATTTAAAGGCACAAAAATAATGATTTTTTTATGAATTAGGGAATAGAGTCTTAATATAATATAATAATATCCACATTCTATATACATATTGCATTTAGAAATCATTTTAACTTTTATGAGTACTGCACATTGCCACTCTTATGACGACGACCCAGAGATATTATTATATTGCGTCGGCTCACTGTGATCCATTGAACCTCTAAAGATTTTCCTTAAGTCCATAATAACTTGGTGCTTGGCCACAAATATAATAAATATAAACACACCTTGTAGACTGCTAGAGGCATAAATAATGTTCCATTTCGTCCCTTCAATTCGTAATACAATAGATAGTACCGTAAGAAAATACGGTATTCCAATAATCAGAAATAGTTTGATGCTCATTACAAATCTGTCAAAAATTAAAAATTAAAGTTTATATTAAGTCAAATGAAATGATTTCAAATATTTTTTTGAAAAATAAATCAAAAATTGTTTAGAACATTTATAATTTAACTAGGTAGTGGAGAAGACGGAAACTACTAACTTCAAATTTATCAAATTTTTAGTTTAGCTGGTAATAACGTTAAATTATCTGTATAATATGTTGTACTATGGTACAAGTTAAAAATATAGATTTTTCATTATGTTCATATTTTTACACGCTTATCACTTATATTTTGACTTACCTCGCAGAGCTCAATGTTTTATATATAATGTTTAAATAATGTATATAATTATGTAGGTTCCAAAAGTACTTAACAGACTATATTAGGTGTGTGAACTATATGTGAATGGATAGTATACTACTGTATTCTTACTTCTCTTTGTAAACAAGAAAATGTTCTGTTCTTGAATCTGTTCTATTGAATTTATTGAGTTCTAATTTAATTCTTGAAGAATGAATAGTAGTCAGCCTGAACAAAATTAAATTGGTAGTCAGCATAACAGACATTGGTATCAGGATGAAAACTAAACCTCCGTGGCCAGACATATCTGGAAAAATAATTAATATAAATTAATAATAATTACCTATATATTTATAGCCATGCAATATACACTTTTAATATAGAAAACTAGTGTCACCGATGTTCATTCATAGTTATATCGCAATATGTTAAACTTTATACAAACACGTATACCGTCGATTATTATTTTTTTTTCCTTTATGAATCCAACAAAAACTTTTTTTCACAAACATAAAAATAAGTAAATAATGTAAAAATTAACCATTTCAAATAATATATATGAGTAACAAATATTTTTCAATCAAAGTTAAATTCATATTTTTAAAATTGTAGGTAACAAAGATCAACCGTCCACCAAACACTCAAAACATATATTGCGGCAGCCGTAGCTATAGGGTTCGGCTCCACTGAAGAGAGCGAACAAAACTACTAATGTAACAAAGGTTTGTTTGAATAAAATTACTACCAAATACATTTCTTTAAGGGGTAGTAAAGCAGTTATACTATGACAAAAAATTGGAAATCAGTTTTGTCAGTCTGTTAAGATGGTACCATGCTTGCTAGTATACCTATTAGAAGAGTACAAGCTAAGTGTAAAGTGGAAAATAAAAATATTCTATATATTATGTCCACTGCCGTTTTCGCTGTATTAATTTGGCCCTAGTAGATTATACATATTATAATATGTGAAAAGTTAAATTCAGCAGCCTGTTTGAAAAATAATAATGAATTAGTTTTTTGGTAATATATTTTTATTGTATTACACAAGAAATGATATTTTAGAAAATATAATTGCATCATTTTGCGGATTGGGTAGTCTCAGCTCTTCGAAAAATATTTTTCTACCAGCCCATAATTTGTTATGGTGGCCCAATAGCCCATTTATTGGCCACATATTAATATTAGTAAATAATAATAACTTGTTGATAGTATTCTATTATATAGCTGTCATATAAATTGTAATGCAGCATTGCGGCCATTTTATCCTAAAATGTTAGCACCCTTCGAGATTTTTTCGAATGCTCGACTGGCCTATCCGACTCCAGGAATGTATGTGTATTTTGTATTAAATGTGTAATTAATTGTGCTTATCCTGAAATAAAACCTATGATTACATTATATTGTGGTTACTTATAAAACATTAACATCTACACCGATCTAAAATTTACAATATTTATATCTGAAAAAAATAAAAATGTCGTAATTAATTTACTTAAAAATAATTGCGTGAACTTACGGTAGTAAAAACAACCATATTCTCCAAAATCGGGTGCAAATGTCTGTAGCGATTCGTCTTGTGAATATTTAAAAACCAGACCAGTACATACGAAAATACTTGAAAGTCCCCAACAGTAAAAATGGTACATAATGGTACGTACTGATGTTGATGTATTTCTGTTTATTGAAATGTAGTTCCTAAATTAAAAACATGTTGAAAATATTATATGCAGTTATATTATGCACTGTTGAATTTTGTACATTTAGATTAAAGAAGCAAAACCTTATATTATAATATGGTATACTGCGCACTGCTGTAATTACATCAGTTAATAGGTATAATATAAAAAAAAAAAATGTATTTTTGTCTTGTGCGTTATTCCTATTGGAAATCGGCTCATTAATTTAGTCATCGAATTTATCGACTTATATTAATGAACTTGGAACTGTCCAATAAATATTTAATTTTGATTTCTACCTACGAGCCGTATGCGCGTTTCATATATGCTCGGAGGTTAAACAGTAATAATAGAAAACAAAATTTCCTACTAATGAACAATTATTATCGATTGTTTGGGCTAATGTTGAATTTTAATTTTGAATTAAATTAATTTTTACAATTGGATTTGATTTTTTAATAAAAATTATCAAACGATTATAATTTTGATTTAACTTATTAATTTGAAAAGTTTCAATTTTGATATTGTTACTATTGATTTCATAAAGGAATTTTATCTACTTCTATGATCGAATAATAAACTACGTAGTTAAATAGCAATATTAACTAAAATATTTAATAACATAAATAAATATAGTCCCTACTAGAATGGTACTATATGTACCTATTCGATTATAATATTATTCATGACTTGTTTCTTTTGTTAGTACATTATTGATGAGTATAGGTATTCGTATTTCACACACGACTTTATTATAATAATTGCTATTTATATACTTTTTAGTTTTTCCGACTATTATTTATTCCAAACGAGACCTACGCCTATATGAATGTATGACCATGGGAGGTTTTCGACAAGCCCAGGGGAGGGAGGGAAAATATTTTGAATATATAAATATATTTTTTTTTTTTAATTGATCTTTTTAAAGCCCGGCGACTATGGCCATTAGCTTGATTGTAGGGTTTATGATTGTAGGTAGTAGGTTTGAAATTGTAGGGTTATTACACGTGTGTGTTGTGTTTGGCAGAATTTCTATTGGGGCACCCGTAGGTTTCTGCCATGAACCGGAGTGGGGGCACTTGTTCTCCGGACACCGTGACTTGCCCGGAGAAAAATGCCGCCCAGTGGTCGAGAGAATCGAACCCGCGACCGCCAGCGCCGCAGACGACGTGTTCGGCCACCTCGTCCCCCTATAAATATATATATATACATATCTTCTTGTTTTTACTGTTGATAGGACAATGATCAGTGATTAGATACTTATAAACTGATATTTTCTTTTATTATAATATATTTCATATAATTATCTGCCTACTTAATACTTATTTGTAGCTTAGAAGTTTATAACACCACAAAAATATACTCTTTATTGTTTTACAATTTTTTAGATTCTGAGTGGAACGATGAATGTATTGATTTTACAATGATGTGTGTTTTTTTATTTTAATTTTAATTTTTTTTTGTGTATGTCATCACATTTTTAGACGGTAAAAGTTCTTGGATTATCTTCAACAGTATTTTTTTTGATAGGAAAGTGAATCTAGTTGGTACTTTGGGGGGGTCAAAAGAAAAAATTTCCCATTAGTTTTCAAAAGCGACGTGAAAAACAAAAGAAAAATTAAGGAAAAACGGGAATTTTTAAGCAAAATCCGTAGATCACGACATTTTTACTGACTGTTTATATTAGTATTTTCTATACACCATGCCTTTTTTAAAATATTTCGACTTATTTTGAGCTGTTTAGTTACATTTTCAGTTTAAAATTTTTTTAATTTTTAATTCTAGAAATATCAATAAAATTGTATTTGTTGGGTACAAAAGCTTAAATAATTAATTGAAGGCTCCTAATATATTGTTTCAAAGACAGATGAAAAATATTAAAAATCCTTATTCACAGTTTTTTGTTATAAGCATTAAAAGTTCAAATATTGAATAACTACGTAAAAATGACGAAAATTTGCAAAATTATTTCGAGTTAGAAATTCATAAAAATTTTTTTTTTAAATCTAAGATATTAAAATGTAATACAAGATTCCTCATAATCCTTTCTACCTTTATCAAAAACAAAAATGTCTATAAGGAAGAAAAATTAAATTTTTATGAGCGTTTGAAATTCAAATTTTTACAACATTGGATATTCACTCGATTTCTCGTCTAGCGATTTCTTTATTTTGTTGTAATTCAATAACGAAAGACTGTAGATTCATGAAAATTTGACTGAATATTTATATTGGCATTTTCTATTCTCTATACTATTTTGACCCTTTTTGAGCTGTTTAAGGACATTTTCAGTTTTTTTTTTCTATAAATAACAATAAAGTTTTATCTGTTGGATTAAAAAGGGGAAAAATTTAATTAAAAAAAGATTCCACGTAAGTAGTTAATTCTGTTACTAAAAATTCTAAAAAATACAGAAGGACAGTTTATTGTTATAGTCATTTTAAGTTTAAATTTGGACGAAATTACATAATTAAAAACCTAGAATAACTATTTAAGTTATTTTGTTGTGATTGTATAATATTATTCGTGTTTACTTGAAACTTCTAAAGTACACTATCATATATCTATGATAGTATCACGGTTTGTTATAGATGTATAACGCGTTATACGTAAATAATGGATACTGTGATATGATTAATTTGGAATTTATTATAGGTACCAGCTATTATAGGTCAATTTTTTTAATACCATAGATAAGTATATAATATGTCTTATACCTAGTCGACTGACATACCGTCTCCGCTGAGAATCGTTTTTCTTATACAATGATATTATATTATTGAATTCAAATTTAATACCATCCATTATACAGTGACCCACTTGTAACCTACTGTACAGCAGAGCACATTTTTTACTATATTATGTAAGAATATAATTTACATACCTTAGCATCCAGTAAATATCGAAGCATATTACGTTTAACCAGCATAATGTTGACAGAAATATAAATAAAGTAATATAACCTAAAACCACACTTTAAATTAATCTAAAATATATAAACAAATAAAATAATAATTAATAGTATGTATACTAATTAAGGTAAAATATGTATATCGATAAGACCAATAATAACAGCAATATTTATATTTATTGTTGTTCAGTTTTCAGATGCATGGACAATTAGTTGCGTGAAGTGGCCAACTCCCCACATTGCCATTTTCACTTCAAACCTTCGCCAATATTATATTTGGATTTAATTGGAACTTATTTTTCCGAATTGGGAACTATTATACATTGACTTGGACGTATTGGTATAGGGTATTTTGTCCTTATACTTTTTTTTCCCAAATCAATGTATTACATAATATCATCCAACCGGGGTCCTAAGAGACTTAGATACATTGCTATATATTGTATGTGGCATGCAAGGCATGGTAGGAATCAATCGAATAACGATAACAACGTAGGTGAGACATACCGAATAGAACGCACGTGTGGCCTCGTCGGTTCTCTGTAATCATCTGAGCAATTTCGAAGACGTACGACACCAACTGGTGGCTCATGTAGCACTTGACGTAGTAGTTGCTGTCGTCCCGGAGACTGGGCAGTGTGCCGTACGCGAGCAGCCCGAGCACCAGGCACACGGCAGACGCCACGTGACTTGCTTGACAGAAAATGGGAATCGAGATGGCACGTGCCCGTTCGACCATGTACACGAAGTCGGCGTCGCATATGAACGCCACTACGCGGTCGGTCACCTGCGAATACCCCAAGCAGTATTCCGTGGGTGGCACGATGTGGTGTTCGTAGGTAAGGTAAAGGCTGCCGTCCTCGGTCAACCGGAACCCGTAGTTCAGCACGTCTCTGTGCGAACACTTGAATTCTACATGGTACGGCAGCACGGTTCTGTTCGACCGGGCCTGACGGCCGTACTCGTCTACTGCATAGGCGGACATCGTGAACGGCTTCTCGCTCAGTGTGCATTCCGGACCACTGCATAATATTGATAATGACACACACGTTATAAAAATAATGTCCCCGTCAGAATGGTCAGTTTTGTCGTTTTTGGCCTGGCACTCGAAATATTGTTCGTTTGGACTCAAAGCTGTTATGTATATTATTATATTTTACAATACATAATGACGTTTTCAAAAACATTTTTATTGATTTTAAGCTAAATATTCTAAGTTATTTCTAATATAAAGGTACTAGGCGGTATTATACAATTATGCGATTATAATAATGAATAATAATATAATCTAATAAATGTAATGTTTTCAACGAGAATGAATTCAACCTTACAGCAGAGCAGTTGTCAGTTACCTAATTCCTCACCTTTTACATTTCTAATCTCACTTAAAGCCCCACTCCTAAGCCGAATTATATCTAATTAAATAATATATAAATATATATATAGGTGGAAGCTTTCATGGTCACCCGCTGAGGGGTGCAAAGAGGGCCTTGGTACGGGTTGGATTTTATTCTGAGGGCACACTTCGTAGCTTTCGTACATAAACATGATTGGAATTCGGTGCCACTTTACAATGACAAAATAAACAGGTACCTGATAACTATAACACAAACACGGTTTATGATTTCTCCGCTTACCAAATGCATTGGTCAATAGTTATTTTGATATTAACTATCATAATATCTATAGAAATTTTTATAAAATATATTGGACCACCTGGTATCCACCCCTTAAATTACTAAATTAGGTCTGGCATGCCAGACTTGAAACATTTTCTCGGTGCCAATGTATGTATAATTTATACACACACACATTCGGAATTTTACAAATAGGACAACTCGTAGCCTCCACCATCCCTTTCCCACCTAATAACCACGGCGGAAACTGCAGCTACAGCAGGCTATATAGATGCGCTTTATGTACAAGCATTATTTACTACATTATACTTAAAAATTGGATGCCATGGACTTACTTGGGGCCGTCGACTATCATCCGGTCGCCCTTGCAGCACCCGTGGACGCACGTATTATTGAGGCAATGTTCACCTCGCATGCACAGCCCGCCCACCAGCTCACCGGATGGTGACAGATCGAAGCAGCGTTCCTCAGGAAACTTCGACGGTTTACTTTTGAGCAGCGCATATAATATGTCGGGCTGTTTGAGTAGCTCGTATGGGTAGTCGCACGGAAGCCCTTCATAATTATAACCCACCATCACCGCATCGGGCACCAGCCGTAAATACGTCAGTAGCGACATCATCCTCCGAATTTGCTCGTCACCGTCCACCCCATCTGGTTGGCATACATTTTTTATCGCATCGTACGACTGGCCCAGCGGACAGCACTTCCGGATCGGCACGGCCGTCCGGTTGTCATCGCACGTGCCACCACCGAATGCCTCGACCGTGTGGAACGTCCGATTTTTGTTCTGGCATGACGCGACGACGTGTCCGCCGCCACTCGCGACTGTACTACTGTTGCAACAGACCACAGCAGCTCCATGGCACGCCAGGGCCACCAGCTCATTGGATGACGTCCGGTCGAAACAGTAGCCCGGCGGTAACTCGGAGGCCGACGAGTGCGCTTGCATCAGCATCTTCAAGACCGCGGTGGGCACATCGACTAGCACCTCCCCGGCGTCGCAAACTGGCTGCTCGTAATTGTAACCCACCATCATCACCTCTTGCGCCTCCCACGAACCATACATCAGTTGCAGCATCATCCGCATCATCCTCTGCAGGTGCTCGTCGACGCCCACCCCATCCGGCCCGCATACATTTTTTATCGCATCGTACGACTGGCCCAGCGGACAGCACTTCCGGATCGGCACGGCCGTCCGGTTGTCATCGCACGTGCCACCACCGATTGCATGGACCGTGTGGAACGTCCGATTTTTGTTCTGGCATGACGCGACCACGTCTCCGCCGCTACTTGTGACTGAACTACTGTTGCAACAGACCACAGCAGCTCCATGGCACGTCCTGGCCACCAGCTCATTGGATTGCGTCAGGTCGTAGCAGTAGCCCGGCGTTAACTCGGAGACCGACGAATACGCTTTTAGCATCCTACCCATGTCTTCGGTGGGCACGTCGAATAGCACGTCCCCGGCGTCGCACAGTGGCTGCTCATAATAATTATAGCCCACCATCAACACCACTCCATAATGCAAGGAACCATACATAAGATTCATTATCATCTCCATCATCTGCTCCAGGTGCTTTTTGCCTTTCACCCCGGATCTGACGAGGCATAACTTCCGTTCCACATCGTACGACTGGCCCAGCGGACAGCACTTCCGGACTAGCTCGGCCTTCTGGTTGTCATCGCACATGTCACCACCGAATGCCTCGATCGTGTGGAACGTCCGATTTTTGTTCTGGCATGACGCGACCACGTCTCCGCCGCCACTTGCGACTGTACTACTGTTGCAACAGATCTCAGAGTCGGCAGCACACCAGCCGATCGCGACCACGAGAAACGCGACGGTGGCGGCGAAATACGAACGGACAGCATTCATCGTGTGCGCACACTGAGCGGCGTCGGCACATTCACTATCGCGACTGCCGGCCGCCGCGTATGTCAGCGATGGAGACCATTCGACGAGCTGCCGCCGCCGACCGTCACGCTCTTATATAATATTATAAAAATGTAATAGGTATACTGGTTTTCGCTGCTTTTATATTATTGTATTATTGTGTAATGAACTACGTTTATTATTTGTATCATATGAGGTTTTACGAATTGTCAATATTAAATATATTTTGTCCTGGCTAGGGTTTAGTTAAGTAAAGCGTAAATATAATCACAACAAAACACTTCGTCGAACTCTGTGTTAAAAAAATCCAATCATTTTTAAAAAAAACAGATCTTTAATCATGATTGATATCATATAGCATATATCTAATCATAAGATGTGATATCAAAAAGAAATGCTAAGGAAATTGAATTAAACTTAAATTTAATTGAAATTAATAATAATAATGAATGTTTATTTTAGCAGTTTTTGTAGATAATATGTACATAATTGATATTTATTATTACAGTGCAACGTCTATCACTAAGGATGTTTCCTTGTATTGATAGACGTAAGTCTCTAAAAGAATATAATTAAGATGATTAAATAAATAATATTAATTAATTAAAATAAATGAATAAATAATAATAATAAGGTACCTTGAAGTTACCTATCTATTTATAAATAACAATAGCCAGTTTTTAAGGAGATTTTGTATATAACATAAATGAATAATAAGAGGAAAATAAAGATAAAATTAAAAATAATGGTATGTGATTTGTGTGTTAACCTAAGGATTTACTTCATTTGTCAATAACCATTTCTTAATTAATAATTTAAAGGTATCAAAGTTTGGATAGTTTTTTATAGGAATGGGTATTTTTTCATAAAGTTTCCACCCAGTTATCATATAGCTATTGTAGTATTTAGTTGTGTTCATTTTTGGGTATATTAACTTTTCAGTTCTTGTGTTATAAGTATGAACGACCGGTTGTATTAAATATTTTTTTGACATGTAATATATAGTTTTTTTATAATATAATTGTTTTACCGTTCATATTTTGGATTCGGATTATAATTATGTGACATTCAATGTTATAATTTCTCATCAAAAAATAGTAAATAAATTAGATATAATATTATGTACCTACCTACTATGTTTTGTTATAATAATTATTATCTGTATATTCACATCCGTTTAGCGAGTTTTGTGAGATTATATTATGATTATAATATAAGATTATTAAACGTCTACCTCGTCGTTAGAAAGCCGACCGACGCACACGGATACGATAAAAAGCCTCGCACGTCGTCGTGGACGCTCGTTGCTCTTTCACGACTGTTTCTAAATGTCTGACGGTTACGTCGTATGAGTTCTACATGACCACATAAATTTTTTTTTTAAGAAAGTGACGGGTGTTTTTATTGTCATTCCACGACGGTTCGTATCCCGTGATCGGATCCGGATCGAATCGCATGTGTCTATTCGGCACGCGCTTTGTGCAGCTCGAGGGCGAGGCACCAGCGGAAATGGACCGCCGAGAAGAAAACCTACAGCCGTTCTGGCAACTGCAACGGACGTCCGGTCACTGGAAGTAAAGTTATAGAACCATACCATCTGCGCGCCTGGGTTTTTACAAAATATATAGATACGTCGTGAACCGACATGGGATTAAAAATCAGTTATCTCATTGTCAGGCACGGCACTAAAATTTTTTTCCAGGGGGGGCAGAGTGGGGCAAATATTTTTTTTACATGGGCTAAAATTTTTTCAGCAAATGCTGAGGTTTGTTAAATGAAATATAAATATTTTCGTATCATATAACATAATATAGCTATTAGCTATATAGTACATAATTTTATATTGTATGCTCTAAACGTCTAAACATATAATATTTACAAACTTTTGAATAGTTAAAAATGTTTTAAGAATAATATCAAATATTTTTTTTGTACCTTATGTAATATGTAAGAAAATGTTTAATCACAGACCTAAGACCTTCAACAACTATATTCATAATGATAACATGATATACAAAAATAATAATTTCTTTATGAGCTAAATATTGATTTTTTATACAATATCTGTTTATGCACCATACAGTAAATGATTGAAAATCTTATAATATTGAAAAAGTTAACAAAAATGTATACAATTGCACTGATATCAGTAGGAATACAATTTGTTTTAAATAAAAACTTTTGATTACCTACCTTATATTTAACTAGTACATTTTAAATTTTTAATTCAATACATTTTTAAATTGGTATTTGCATAGTAGTGTATGTATTGACTAATGAAGTACCTACTTTATATTTTTTGTTAAATTTTGTAGGTTAAAATAGTTCATATATATACATTAAAACATAGATACTTTAAGAAATCCTTTTTTATTAATTATCAAGTAATATGTGAACTATAATTACCATGACAAATAAGATTATAAAAATAACAAAATAAGAAAATTGAATAAATTATTTAATTATTTTAAATAAGAAATTTGTCATGCTAATTACCAAACTAATATAAGTAGGTAGGTACGAATACCAACTCCTTACACAATAGTATTGTGTTAATCAAACATAAACATATTTAAAATAATAAGTCAACTAAAAATATTTTTAACTGTATACAACAAACATTAATTATTATATCGTACATATTTTTCAGTGGGGGGGCTGGCGAGGGGGCTGGTCTGTTTTCTGGGGGGGGGGGGCTAGAGCCCCCCCTTGCCCCCCCCCCTTGGCGCCGTGCCTACTCATTGTAGAATAAGATGATAATATAAAAACATTTTGCCACGCGGCTGTCGATCTACGCTCGACCGTCCATTACACGGGCGAGCGGATCAGTGACGTCGGGGGGTATACGATCTTTCGGTTTTTATTGCTTCACGATATCACATAAAAAAATTTACGCGTTAGTGCAATACAACAATGAACAACAAATTCGAAAAATACATAATATATTGTTAACGTATTATTTTTTTTTAAATATTCATAATAGTACGTAAAAGTAATGGTTATGCATAGTACCTACTGGTAGAATGGGTTGTTATGAAATAATATAATCGAAGCATAATATTATTTTACGAATATAATTATAATGCACTGAACTGATCGTCGAAAAACGAGACAGGTCGACTATGCGGGCACCATCTATGCTATACCTATATAGGAAGTAAAATAGTTGTTCCAAAACATTGGTATTAAAATTTGATTTTAATAATTTTTATTAAGTTTGAAATCAAATTAAAAATACGACTCTTGAATATTTAACACATTTTAATAGTTATAAAAATAATAAATATATTATTCAATAATTAAAAAAAAAACTTTTTTTCAAAATTATTTGTCTATTTATAAATAGTTTTTATTGGAAATATTAAGATACAGCAAAATCGGTCTTGAAAAATCAGATTTTGACATTAGTACGTTTTGGATTTCCTATCAATTACTGTTATCGATATTTGATTCCCTGAGTCTGAAAATTTATATTATGTGCGTCAGTCAAGTTAACAACACAGTAAATCATGTTGAACTCGTAAATATAAGGCCCAAATTTTGTTTAAAAATGTCAAGTTTAAAATGGTTCAAAAGTTATGTAGTTGGTAGAAAACAAAAAGTTAAAACTAATATCATTACAGGCGAAGGAATGTTAATAACTTGCGGGGTACCCCAAGGTAGTGTATTAGGACCCATTCTGTATATTATATTATACATTAATAGTTTATGTGATTTATCAATGATGGAACATATTATGTTCAAAAATGTAAATCAGCTGTTCCGAAGGACTTGCAAATTTTAAAAAGGGCCTTACAAAATATAATTTCTAGTCATTAGCTTTCGTTCGATTGTGGTTTCAAAGTTCTGGTTCAAAGTGGATTTGTTACGTGAAGTAGATCCAACTTTTAATTTTTTGGTTTCACAGTGAAAGTTTAGAATAGCAAATTCTTAAAATATACTTTCAAATATTTGAAAATAACTTGCAAATGTATAATGGCATGGATTTAAAACAATTGCAGTATTTAAGTGTGTGAACTTCAAAATGTTTTGGGTTTAATGGTATTTTTACTAAACATACAAAATAATAATTAATAATAATAAATGTAACAATATTATAATATTGTGGTTCAACATGTATTTGTGTTAAAACTTACATTTTAATTTATTGAAAATAATAAAAAGTAAACATCTCACAAATGATGCATGCTAATTGTATATAAACAGTAGTTAATTAAAATTAATTATGATACCTAGATTAAATTATTATGATATAAAATATATGTATATACTTAGGTACGTATTTAATTATGGAATTGCAGGTAGCACAAAACTTGTTGCTTATATTTTCTTTATATAATACTTTTTTTATTAGATAGAATTTATTCATTTATTTTATAAATATATACTACGTATTAAGAACAAAGATAAATTGTTTGAGTAAAATATAACATACCTTATATACAATCGTATTTTTTGATTACCTATCAACTATTATTTTATTTTTATAATAATCACAAAAAACAAAAACGTAATTTTTAAAGGCACACAAATAATGGTTTTTACATACCCTAGAGTCTTAATACATAGTATTAAAATATCTCCATTATATTTATATATTGCATTTAGAAACCATTTAAACTTGTATGAGCACTGCCCAGTGCCGCTTTTATGACGACCCAGAGATATTGTTAATTTGTGTCGGCTCACTGTGATCCATTGAACCTCTAAAGATTTTCCTTAAGTCCATAATAATTTGGTGCTTGGCCACAAATATAATAAATATAAATACTCCTTGTAGACTGCTAGCTGCATAAATAATATGTCATTTGGTCCCATTCATTTGTAAGAAAATGATAGTATGGTAAGAAGTAATAAGATTTCCTTAATCAGAAATAGTTTGATGCTCATTAGTAATGAGTCATTACAAATCTGTAAAAAATAAAAATAAAAATTTATATTAAGTTAAATGAAACGATTTTAAATATTTGTATTTGAAAATA